AAAACAAAATAAAATAAACCAATTGGTTAATTATGAATAATGTAATAATGTAATAATAAGAAATCTTGAGATTAGGTTTTTTCCTTGTTTTTTAATTGGTAAATTTTATGTGATGAATACTTCAGATGATACACTGCTTATAAAATACAGTATTTGAACAATCCCAGATAGTATTTAAGGTTCTTTTCAAAAAAAACAAAGTGTCGTTCGCGTGATTTTCATTGGATATAGTCGTGAAATGAACTTGAATATTGTCGTTATCCGTATGTTAATCTAAATCTGTCGTTAATCAAAGGAGTTTTATTTATGTGTACGTGATATGTACAACACATTCATTTGTTCCTGGATGTATGCTAGGATCATTGCTTGGATTTCGTAAATCGGTTCGTTCCCAGTCAGTATCACCTTTGAATTCGATTGTTGAAAAACCTTCTTTTTTCCTTTGCTTACATTATCCATCCATTCATGGCGATGATTGGTTGGTTAATGATAGCGATATTTGGATACAACACTGAGATCATGAACTCAATGATTCTTGTATTAACCTTGCTCTTTCCAGTATGGTTAGGCTTTTCGCTTCATGATTATTTGGTACGCACCCGAGTAACTGTACAATGGTTATTTGGTACTCACCCGAGTAACTAACTGTACGATGCTTTACCGTGATATCATTTTAAGAAATTCATGCACCACATCTGTTTATAATCATTTATGGTGTTATGAAATAAATAAAGAAATGAGTAAAATAAGTTAATGATTTACCCTATTTTTATTCAAACAAACAATTGTGACCTATTTACTGTATGTCTGGTATATTAATTTAATGACGAAAATCACTCGTTTACAGTATATCAAAGAATACAATGACCTCGCATTTTCTTCCTTCGCAATCGCGCTTACACTTGAAAGATACAAAATTGAACCAGCAGATGTTCTTTTGTCCATCAGACTACAACAGCATAAGTGTTAGACATTTGCATTTATGTGCATAAAGAAGATCGTTCTTTTGGGGGAGATCTAATGTGATAAATGTCCGTGATTCAATTGCATCCTAGCAGTCATAACTTACCTGGTTTTCGGCGTACATATTTTTGCATGAAGGATGGATGAACACAGTAATGATCCCTCAAGAAAAGCCGATAAAGTCTTATTAGTGCCATTGTTCATCAGGAGTTTTCATTTGAAGAATTCCATGAATATTTTGTGTGGCATCTTCTCTTGCGCAATCGTTACACTCAGTCTTCTATAATACAGTACTTGACTATTTGTGGATAACTTCCGGTAATTACTAGTTTTTTACTTCATTGAACCTTTTTTGTGTAAGTGGTACGAATGTTGCATAGAAATAAAGGTATGTAGAAAATAAAAAATAAAATGTAGCATAGCATAGCATAGCAACACAAGAAAATCAATGTATATACTTTTTCCGAGTTTTTTGATTTGATAATCTGTGTGTGTTCTTTATTTCTTCATGTTCTTTTACACAGGATTAATAAACTGATACATTTTTGCGAAGGAATGCACATCCAGTTCGTTAATTAATGGTATTGATTAATTAATTGAATCTTTATTTATTTTGACCCGTGTTCGCTCAAGTCCTATCATTTGTCATCGGTTTTTATGAATTACGCGTTGAGAGAGACTCACCTTGGCGAATTTGTGTACTCCGGAAGATTGAGAATGCAAACACTCATTTCTCTTTTTCTCTTGAACCGAATAAAAAATAAAATGACTGGATAATCAATAAATTTAAGTGTCGGTGTTCGACTACATTCTGGATTCTTGTTCTTTTTTTTTGCAATGTTCTTGGGACCGAAAGTTTCATTAGTACTACCTAGAGTAACAATCCGTATTCCGGTTTGGCTGAATCAAATGGTCATTAATTATTGCATGACTATCGATATAACATTCATACAGTATAACCTGTTTTAATGTCAACAATTCTATTAGGTAACGTTTAATTGTTGCTTGATTGTAGTTGAGACTTAACAAACATGTAATTTACCTCATTATGATGAATTTCGTACCTAAGCATCTATCGAGTGGGGCAAACGCATACTCCCATTTGTATGGAAATTCACCTACCAACAATCACGACTTCGCGCTGTTTTCTTACAATCTCTCTGTCGATCTCTTCCTCTTTTAAAAGGAGGTGGCGTAAAACGTTTGCCGTGTCCATTTGTTATTTGTTCACGGGCTTCGTGATTGATTCCGAGAACATTACATCATAAGTATTTATGCAACAATGCAACAATACCAACAACAACTTAAAATTTTCCACATTTATTACAAAAAAAGAAAATGATTCAAAAAGAATAATACAGATCACGAAAGTATATGTACGCAAATAGAATTTAAAATTGAATCGTTTAAATCACGCAAATCATTTATTTGTCACGTAATGTATACGAACATTATTTTAAAAATTCGAATGATAAGGGGATGTGAGAAGAATAATTCTTACAATCAATTTTTCTTTTTCTTTAACCAATAGAAGGCATATTAAATTAGATTAAATTATTTTATTATTATTATTTTTTTTTTTTTTACATACCAAGTTGTCTACCAATATCGAAATCTGATAAGTCGACCAAATGATCAGATACTCTTTTTTTTTTTTTTTTTTGCACACCTATATAAGAACGAGCTTTTTGTCTTCCTTTAATACCATGGGGTTTCATATCTTAAAAACGACTTTCCTTTTCATTACAATTGTTTTCCCATCACCTCACCAACCAACCAACTACCATAACTCATCCCCGACATTGACTCCTCTGCACTGCCTGCGAAATAATAATTCAACCAAAAACCCTTGTTAAAATAGCGATGCCTTAACTTTTATTGACCGTAAAGCTAATTTCACACATTTGCAGGCTCGCATCGCATCAATAAGTTTCAAATAAAATTACCCTTATCTCACCGTATTACGAGATTTGAGCGTTCTAATCGATGAAAAGTCTGATAATTCGCCATTGACACTTTGGCAAAACTCACTAACCTCGGTCCACGGTCTGAAGTCAGTCAGTTGCGTCGTATTTCGCATGCTCTACTTACGCGAATAATCAGCACGAACCAAATGCACGCACATACATATCATAATGCCCATATTTCAAGCAGAAAATAGAATTGTTTTTCGTTAAAAACAACTGTGAATTCGGTTCTCCACTTTTTCATCGCCTTCGTGACGTACTTTTCATAACACAAGACCGGTTTCTTGATGACAAATTCATATCTTGTCCTTTTTATAGGCACATTCTTGAGTTTGGTTATGAAATGTAAATACTTTTTCCAAAATGTAAATATCTTCATACATGTACATAGTTCAAATCATGTAAATAACTACATTGCTTCAAGGTTGTACGCATACACTTCATCTTCTGCTTCTGTCCCTTTTCAGCCTGGCCAAACTTTACAAACTGGAAAACGTCACGTTTCGAATTTTCTTTTATTTTTTCACGATTTTAAACGATATATGTACCTATGATTTACTATAAGATTTCTATCTACGTTTTACCATAAATTTGTACTGACGAATAATGTTGAATCGATAATTTTTATTAAAGATGAGTGCCCATGTGCACTTTTTGCGTATTTCACGTGATTACTATAATCTCAAGTGTCTGTTTATCCGAAGATTTTGCTCTCTCTTCAAAAAAAAATTTTTCAACCCATTCTTACCTGTTTATTTCGCGAAACGAATTCGGCGAAGGGTCAATCACCTGCCTGATTCTCGGTCAAAACTCAAAAAAAAAAACTGTGGGTTGAGTAGTTGCTGTGCGAGTATCTCTAATTTTAGTAAATTCCATAAATGGGTCATGAACCCGTAGTTTCGGAACATAGTGACGCGTCACGTAACTCTAAATAATTAGTTAAAATTTGTAATAATAACTGTACTTACCATTTGTCTCATGCGTGAGAATTCGTAATCTAAAGAGATGGCCAAGGTGTGGGCCATCAAGAAGGATACCGGCAGCACAAGAGCGTTTTAGGATAATCTAAGGTAGAAGGTTGTTGGCAAAGTGTAAATCGTAACGATTAAAGCATTACCTTATTCAACGATATAATCCAGGGTTTCGGATATTGTCACGCAAACACGCGCTACATAATTGTACCCCATTCTTAACAAATTTGAATGCCCCAGGTTGAAACCATCATTCTCTAAAACGTTCAATTGGTGCTCTGTATACATGATAAAGCGCATTATACTGTAGTGGTTAATCTCTGTATTTATAAAGTTATTATCCTATCATATGATGTCGGATTGATCAATTGATATACTGTAGATGGTTTACAATGACTGGAATTTGAGCCGGACTGGTGGTACATTTTTAAGTATTGTAATATGGAATCAACTTATGACTATTTTATATTCATTTTAAAATGGCAATAACATTCTTCTATCCCACTGCTTATTCTTATCTCTGTGTGGATTATCTACATTTTTTTTTATGCCAGTCAACCACCGTCGTACTGTGAGACGACATTAACTTCTCGCACCAATTACCGCTTGGGTCATCCCTGATACCGTGTCAAATTCGTGGGTGGGAATGTATACTTTAAGTGTTTTTGATACATATGATCCGTCCTATGGCAATCCCATGACCATTATCGTGACATAAGGAGATCCGGTATTTATTTTTCATTGTAGAAATTCTCACCCATTAATTGAAGTGCACGTGTCCTAATGTATAAATCCTGTATATTCTTGTGTTTCATATTAGAAAATTCCAACTTGAATCAACATTCCCCTTTCAAGATACCCGTATCCTCTTTGTTCACATACCTTTGACAAATGACTCTATGGTGTGATCGGTGGAAAAAAAGGAAACCTTTTTTTTCTTGAAAAATAATTGTGCATGTTTTTTTTAAGGGGTTCGTCAAAATTTGTGTACCATGGCTTGCTTTGTGCGAACAATAGCCGATTGATAATGGCAAACATGGACTGTATGCATATGTGGCTTATGTAAAGTGCATATAGTGGCAAGATTTCTTTTCTCATACCTTGATCAAATGTCTAACCGATCGAGAGAGGTTCGGGTGACATGATGGAAGATATCCGTTTTCATAAACTTTCGGAGAAAAGAAACGATATTTTTCCGGAATATTTACTCGTGCAGACATAGAAGGTTATTATATAATGAAAATTAAATGGGACCTGACTCGGTTTTTACAATAATGATTCCAAATCTGTACATATTGATAAAATCAAAAAAATAAACATACTGTACATTATACTAGACTAGCTGCAATGCTTATCACTTATTTATTTCTTCTTTTCCCTTTTTCTTGATTTGATTCATTCTATTCCATTCTATCTATTTATTTTAATCATTCTATTAACCACCGGGGCATAAATTCTACTGTAAAAAACGGATGTGAAAATCGATTAATTTGGTTAGCATTAGAATTGCACCTAAAAAAAAATGAATTGACGGAAATTGATTAATTTGGTTAAAAATCATGGGAAACGTAATAATAGTGATAGATATACTGTATACTGTATATACTTACGATTATTAATTTTGATGTTAGGTGACTGTAATAGCGTGCAATTTGAACAATTATAACACCACAATAGCGCCTATGTATATGTTATTGTGCGATCAAATAATTAGATATGATAATAAGGTTTATAATTATTAATGT